TAGCACCAAATCAATATATTAGAATGATTTCTGAAGGATCATGTGACAATGAAGCAATGGAGTAATGGCTGCTGAAAATTCAACATGCCATCACAAGAATATATTACAATAGAAAACAGTTATTTTAGTATGTAATAATATATCACAACTAGTGCTGTCAAACGATTAATTGTGATTAATCGCTTCCAAAAGAAAAGTTTTTGTTTGCACAATATATGTGCGTGTTCTGTGTATATTTATTATGTATATATAAATACACACACATACAGTATATATTTGGAAAATAAGTATTTTGACCGGTCCATGTTTGCTGAAGAAGTCCACCAGGTGGAAGGAAGTTCTGTCATCACAGTCACCCAGACCGAGCTGTCCTTCATTATTCCCTCCAGAGGCATACAGGTTACCACGGGCTGCTCAGTAAAGAAAACAACTATTTTAGGTAAGGATACATCAATAAATTTGCAAGTATTTAGCACTATTTGGTGTCAGAAGAATTTTTTGAAAGAAATTAATTAATTTTATTCAGCAAGGATGTATTAAACTGATCAAAAGTGACAAATATTTATAATGTTACAAAAGATTTCTATTGCAAATAAATGCTGTTGTTTTAAACTTTCTATTCATCAAATAATTCTGTGTATATATATATATATATATATATACTAGTGCTGTCAAACGATTAATTGTGATTAATCGCTTCCAAAAGAAAAGTTTTTGTTTGCACAATATATGTGCGTGTTCTGTGTATATTTATTATGTATATATAAATACACACACATACAGTATATATTTGGAAAATATTTACATGTATTTACATGTCTATATTTATATTCATATAATTTATATCATAAATACATTTAATATATAAAAATAACATTTCTCTGAAATATATACATGCATGTGTGTGTATTTATATATACATAATAAATATACACAGTACACACACATACATTATGTAAACAAAAACTTGGATGCGATTAATCACGATTAATATAAAAAACCCATTTTTCCATATTAAAACCCATTTTCTTAAAACCCTCTTGTTAATTCCCAGAGAGTTCCCCTATGTTGCCCTGTGGCCCTTTCAAAACACTGCTCTGTTTATTTCAGTGGTTCGCCTTGGTTTGCTGTGTCAACTTCTGGCTCGACTAATGGAATACGTAAATAAATAATAAAATGTGTAAATAATTAAGACGAAAGAGAGAACACATTACAACTTTTTAAAAAAGGCACTGATGTACTAGACTCAAAAGCATAAAGCGACTATTCTATCATGTTTGCAATAAAACTTACATGTATAAACAAGTGTGTGAGTTCTTCCACAGGCTGCAAGCTTCACCCGCTCTGATTTTAGGGCTTTAAGAAAACAAATATAGTCAGAGAATGTCAGAATAATGTTGAATGCAATTCATTCTTGCTAAACACATTTATACAACCTAAACAAAAAATAAAATGATATATATATATTTGATTATTTATTTATTTTTAACAAGTTACTTTGCTAAAATATTGAAAAATTGCACTTCTCTCTGTTTTCCAGATTAATGCAGATTATGGACCACTCCAGATTGCGATTAAGACAATCTATGGCTTTGTCTTGAAAAGATCTCTCATTTTCTTACAGCTACTTAGCAACATGTAATTTTGTGTGTCAAACAATATATTATTGCTGAATAATTCAAAATCACTCATCCTTATTATCTGACAAATATCATACCCAAACAGCTAAATGTAAATGACAGCATGGGAAATGTGTCTGCGTAAGTGATTTATCAGCTGTGGATGGCAGAAAACACTCTCTTGGACTGACAGTCTGTCCTACCTTTCACACAAGTGGGTTTATTCACAGTGGCTTTTGTTCCAAGGCCCAGCTGTCCCCAGTTATTGCTGCCAAACATAAACAGCTTCCCATTTTCTAAACACAATAGGAATAGCGACAGGATGAATTAACAAAATGATGGAATAAGACTATATTTACCAATATCCACCACTAAAATCATAAATCACACCTGTCACCAGTGCTGTGTGCTCATCTCCACAGGCAATTCTCAAAGGTACATCATTTTTTAACCAGAATTTACTGGGGGCATTATCTGCGAATTTACTCTTTCCAAAAGTGAAAACGGCTCCGGATTCTAAAAAAAAAATAGAACAAATGCAGACAGACCAATTTAATGTCGCCATCTTGGTGTTTTATGACTGTTGTTATCAAAAACAAGCTGTTTTTATCACGAAGCATACAGTTTTACACCATATAGCGCTGTAAACAAGTAGTAATTTGTATAATATTTAGTTGAAGTTTCTGGTTCTTTGTATATATACACACATTCATATGGTTAAAATTAATTGTTTACTTCATAGAACAGGGAGAGAGAGCAAAAGAGAGAGAGAAAGAGAGGCGTGACCACATGGCGTGGTTGCCTTGGCGACAGGTAGCCACAGGCGTCAATGAAAGAGCGGGACAGAGTGTTCAGTGAATAAAATACAAAACACAAACAGCCATTTACACTTATAAACCCTGATAAATATAGTATTAGCAGGGCATAAAAGCAGTTAAGACATGTTTACATCAGTACATCATTCGCTTCCACTATGTAGCACCGTTATATAGCCTGTAGGCTAACCATAAACAGCCAACAGAGTTAAAGAAACACACGTGTCGCAACTGAAAATAACAAAACAGTTTACACTTTTGATCACTAATGCAGCACATAATATTTACCAGGGATCTCATCTTCTGTTTCTCCGGCCATCTCCCCCGACTAATCAGCTTATTTACGCTGGGCTCTAGGAAGTGTGACCAAGAAGTTTCTAATATGACAGAAACCGTCCGCTTTACATGTATTTCCGCGTTGAGGTGTCACGTGTTACTCGTCAGCTTCTTTGAGTTTTCTGAGAGCTCTGACTTGTACCACGTGACCGCTGTACCACCTGACCACATCCACCGCAGGCTCTGTTTAGGCGTTGATATAGTGTTGCCATAGAAAAACATCATTCCGAGGACGTGAACAGCTCATTGACTGTATGGAACAGCTCCGAGTAGAACGTCACGTGCTGTCATCTCGAAATTACGGTAATTACGATATGGCGTGAACGCAGCATAAGCCGCGGCTACTGGGCATGCGCACATCAATATAGCGCTTTTTTTTTGTCACGCTGTACAATAATAATTACTGTTTTTGCATTATTGTAAGGGGTAGGTAAAATTTTTTTGTTATTGTTTGTTTCCGGCCGCAGCTGTATCCCTTCTAGACACAACCGTATACCTATGATAAACATTAATTATATTATAGGTTGTATTGTCTTAAAATGACCTTTTTAAATGTGTGTGTGTGTGTGTGTGTGTGTGTGTGTGTGTGTTTCAAATATGATTTTTCAGTCGTTTTAAAAAAATTAGTAAAAAAAATTAAATTAGTAAATTTTGGTCACAGTCACAGATGGAACTAAATGTGTCTTTATATGTAATGTAATGAAATTATATACATTGAATTCATATACTATTTTCTATATTTAATATACTATAATATATTGTTTTGTAATATATAATATTCTCACTATTTTCACTAAAACCCAATCTCACTAGCAACACAATCTTCTGTATCTGTATATTGTAAAAATAGACAACAACAATAATAATAATACAGTAATAATAATAATAATAATACGCCTATGTTTACACAACACAATCATTTGCAAGACATTTTACTTTGCAGTGTTTCCATATTAGAGTGGAGTGGCTAGGCAGCGAAGAATCTCTAAATAAACGCCTCTTCCGGTTCAGTCTGTAAACAGTGATCTCATCCCCAATCTTGCGCCGTCTTCCTTTAGCAGAATCTCCCAGCATGTGCGGCACGCCGTCTCCACAGAAATGACCGTGAAAGCGAATGTTTATTTTTCCGTGTCCTTACGATCCGCCCGTTCTTTTGACATAATGATGAGTAGCTGGGGATCTTTGAGTTAGCCTGGAGCATGCTAGCATGCTTATTAGCTTGTAAAAGGGGGCAAACAAGCAGCTGCCTGGTGCAAGCTCTGTTAAAGCTGCTTTCAAGTGTTTTTCACTGGGTTTTCTGCTTGGAGAATAATGGAAGGCGTGCTTTACAAATGGACAAACTATATGACAGGTAAGAGTGAATGGCACTGACAAACTGACATATAGACACTTGAGCTGCAGTCAGACAGCCCTGCAAGATCTGTCTCATGATGTCTGTAACGTTAACTTATATGACAGAGAGAGAGAGAGAGAGCTGCGGATGCATGCAACTTTGTTCTTTTGTACTGTATTGTTTTTTGCATTGCTTCTTTTCTAAAATACCCTATGCTTTCGAAATGTCCATGTTGAGTGAGAGTAATATAGCTCATGTGTCAAACGTCCCGTCGTGTCATGTGATGTTACGATACTTCAAGTTCAGAAAGTTTCATTTTGAATGCGTTTTGTCATCTGATGATACTTTGTTTTATGACAGGATGGCAGCCAAGGTGGTTTGTGCTGGACAATGGCATTATTTCATACTATGATTCACAAGATGACGTGTGCAAAGGTAGCAAAGGCAGTATTAAGATGTCAGTATGTGAAATTAAAGGTGAGATTTGAGATTGTGTATCTTATCTGCAAAATCTTCCATACTTATGACAAATTAAACTGGTTATTCTTATGTCATTTTTGACTTCCTTGTGTTTGCTCCAGTTCACCCAACTGACAACACGCGTCTGGAGCTGATCATACCAGGAGAGCAGCATTTTTACGTGAAGGCAGTGAATGCAGCGGAGAGGCAGAAGTGGCTGGTGGCTCTGGGAAGCTCCAAAGCTGGACTCATTGACACTAGAACCAAAAAAGAGAGGGGTGGGCTTCTCTTAACAGTTTGCTCTCTGGTCATATTCTTGTTTTTTTATTATTCTCTTTTGCCTTCTTGTCATAGCACAAGACTAAAAACACAGTCAAATATTTTGGTACACTTTAAAATACCAATATTTTCATAAATGTTATTGATTCTCCACAGATGTTGATAAACTAATAGGCTAATAATAATAATAATAAAAAATAATTATTATTGGTAGTAATATTATTAATATTGTTAACAAAATAATCATTACTATCAAAATAATACACATTTTGATTTATTATTACGATTAAAAAAGAAAAATAATATTTATATACACATTAATATCTTAAGCATTATTTATCTTGATATTTTCTTAACATGTATGTATGTACACACACACAAGTAAAAAACAATCATTTAATCAAATGTAAAAATATAGATTTAAAGGGTTAGTTCACCCAAAAATGAAAATTATATAATTAATTACTCATCCTCATGTCGTTTCAAACCTGTAAGATCTTCGTTCATCTTCAGAACACAAATTAAGATATTTTTGATGAAATCCGAGAGCCGTCTAACCCTCCATAGACAGCAAAGCATCTACAGTGTTCAAGGCCCAGAAAGGTAGTAAGGACATCGTTAAAATAGTCCATGTGACTTCAGTGGTTCAACCATAGTTTTATGAAGCTACGAGAATATTTTTTGTGCTCAAAAAAAACAAAAATAACGACTTTATTCAACAATTTCTTCTCTTCCGTGTCAGTCTTCGACATGCTTTCACAAGAATACCACAATGCAGGAGCCGGCGTTCTGATGTAGAACTCGGATGCGCTGCGCCTTGTTTACAAACAGAGGAATGCACATGCATGTGTCGTGGTACTCTCATGAACACACATTGAATTCTGACAGAGAAGAAAATGAATTGTTGAATAAAGTCGTTATTTTTGTTTTCTTTGTGCACAAAAGATATTCTCGTAGCTTCATAAAACTATGGTTGAACCACTGAAGTCACATGGACTATTTTAACGATCTCCTTATTACCTTTCTGGGCCTTGAACGCGGTAGCTGTGTTGCTGTCTATGCAGGGTCAGAAAGCTCTTGGATTTCATTAAATATCTTAATTTGTGTTCCGAAGATGAACAGAGGTCTTACAGGTTTGGAATGACATGAGGATGAGTAATTAATGACAGAATTTTGGGGTGAACTATCCCTTTAAATAAATCATATTTGATATTGTATTATCATTATATTTTTAGAATAGAATGATATGCTGATAAAGACAATAATATGTAAGTACCCAGATGTAATAAAATATGTATATACATATATATATATATATATATATGTACACACACACACTGTATTGAAGTCCAGTGGGAAATTCACGTCGGAGACAAAAGGCTTTCATATACTGAATTCATGTTTCCTAGTTGCGCATCAGTAATCTTGACTGCTAAGCAGTATCAAGGCCCATTAACAGTTGCATTTCCTCTCCTAATGGGTTTTTGCAGAGTTAACAGAAACCACAGAATCCCTGAAAACCAAGATGTCAGAGCTGCGCCTGTACTGTGACTTACTAATGCAGCAAGTGCATACTATTCAGGAGTCAGTGGAACAGGAAGGAGAGTCGACGGTGGCCAGCACTGAGGTTAGCTGTTTTTCTTTCAAACCACAGTAATCATTGCAATTATTGCAGTTGGGTGGGTGTGATATAAAAAGGTTATCATCATAGTAATCAACTCTTTTAAACCAAATCGTTGTATTTTCTGCTGTTTTCTTCCCCAGACGAGGAATGAGGCGTCCTCATTACTGAGTGCCACCTGTGAAACCTTCATCAAAACACTGGAAGAATGTATGAAAATTGCTAATTCCAAGTTTAAGACTGATATGTTGCAATCCAGTCCGTCTGATTCCATAATGTCCCCCGTGTCCCCCTCTCCCGTCCAAATGTCTCGGGTAAAGACACAAGCATAAATCACATACAATTTTCTATTTTTATTCGTAGTTCCTATTTCTATTAGTTTGTATGGCATTTTTTTATGGCAAGTTATTTGGGTGAATTTTACAAAGCCATACCCAAGTCATGTTTGACCCCAAAATAAATGGAAAAAATGAAAAACTTATATTTAACATAAAGGATATGTAGCTTGTTTTTGACTCTTTACATTGTGCATTATTTTCATGACAATTAAATGAATGAATCAAATAATTAAGTACATTTTCACCCCAAATTCTGAGTATCTCAAATAATTATAATTATTTTGTTTTTGTTCACATTATTGTAATGAGAATATTTTTTACATCACGGTAATGGGAATTGGAGGAAAATATCACAAAAAGCTAAAGCCTCTTTTTCTTTGTATAATGTATTGTTGTTTATTTTATGATTTTGTTGATAAATATGACTTGGACATATTCTTTGCTCACTCACTTACTAGTAAAATGTATGATATGTTATTTTAGTATTATTTATATAAAATACTATTATAGTATTTATCAATATTTAGAATTAGCTTTTATATGTATTTTTTTCCATTTTCATTTTAGTTTTAGTAATTTTGGTACTTTACCTCAAAATTACTTTATTTCAATGAATTGCCAAGGCAATGTTTCTAATATTTTTTTTCATCTAATTTATTTTGGCTGTAGTTCAACAAAAATAATTTTAATATTTTTAGTTTTCTTTAACAATAACACCACTGGTCTGGCACTTGATTATTCAATGTAACCCATTTTTCTCTCTCTCTTTTTTTTTTTTTTTGCTTATTGTATAGATGAAGCGCTCAATCAGCCATCCTGGCACCTACAATTATGAAAGGTACAAAAGGTTTACACAAGGTTTACACTGTTTACACACAGACTTCTTGTTTTTGGTCCATACAGCTTATGCGGTTATTTTCTGAGTGCCTATAAATACAGGTGCTGTTTTCCTTCAAGGTCAAGCTTGCCAAAAGAGAGCATGGCGTTGCAGAAGTCCTCCCAGAGGCGGACACAGACATGCTCTGATACAGAAGCTCACAGCGACAGAGGGGCCGAGGAGACGGAGCGTGAGTCACGCAGAC